AATTCCTAAAGGAAAATCCAAAAGTGAAAATATAAATCAAATTTTATAATCAATCTATATTTGAAAATAAAATTACAAAATCTAGAATCAAATACTAACTAAAGATTTATCTAAATTCAATTGTAAGATCATCTTTGCTGAAAAAAAGTTTTTTCTCTATACCAAAATATTTTAAAATAAATTCAAATTTAATCGTATCTTATGCCCGAGAACAGAAAAAATCGGTGGAAATATATAAAAAAAAAAAGAGAAATCTTCGCCTGTAAACTTTGGTGTCTTTCCTAGTTGGACATTTTTGTCTGTAAATCTTTTTTTTTTCTCTGCCTTGCTCGTTAATCTTTAATAATTTATTCTTCAGTCAGCATTTCGGTTTATTAAAGCTTTAACTTTTAGTCCCTTTCCTCTTTTCTCACTTCTATATAAAGAAAAAAATTCCACTATTGGACTGTATCTTTACCTACTTTTAGCTTAATTTCTTGTTTATCAAGGCCCCCACAACTCAATTTTTCATTCATAGATCCGATATTTGCTCAAATTTGTGTTTATAAAGTTCCTATCTTTGTGGGGTTTTGGAGTTTTTTCTTGTAATTTGCTAGAAAAAAAGTTTAATTCTGTTTTGTTTGTTCAAGTTTGTGCTTTGGGGTTATTGTTTCTTGATGATTTATTTCGACTTAGATTATAAGATTTCCCCGCCAAGTCCTTCATTTTCTTATTCAATTTCATCGAATTTTCTTACATCTGATATTTTCTTGATAAAGTGTGTTGATTGTTTCCATTTTCGTATAAAAGATTGTTTTTGTGAAGGGAAAATGGGGGATCGTTTAAGGTCAACTTCAATGGAGGATTTGCCAGTACATTTGATTCTTGAAATATTGTTGTCGGGTCGATTAGCTGTTATTGATTTAATAAGCTTAGAGCTAACTTCAAGGACTTTTAGGGGAACACATGGTTTGTTTCCTAAAAAGTTCAAGTCTTTGGTAGATTATGCTGCTTTTCAGCTTTGTGGATTGAGTTCAATCTATGCTTCTTTGCATTGTAATGCTCAGGAAGAGCTGTTGAAGCGATGTAACGGCAATTGGAAGCGTCTTTTGAGGTTCTTGATGGCTGTGGAACAGTCCTCTGATATGGTTGAAACTTCTGCAGGAAATGTACTATTTCTTTGGAAAACTCATAATTCATTTATCAATGTTTACTTTGTTTGGTTGATTGCTATTTTTGCTATTTTAGAACTAATAAATATATGGATGAAATGTTACTTATTTAATAGATGGATGGAATGTTTTAAGACATTATTGTTGTTAGTCATGAGATATGCTTGTTGATGGAGGCCAAAGGCGGAGCCAGATAGGGCCAAAAATGACACTTTTTGAACCCCCTTTGGCTTCTTCGTGTGTTTACTTCTTCGTATTTTGAACCCCATAGTGAAAATTCGGACTCTTCAACTGGATGGAGCACGTGATTCCTCTGCTTCACATATAGCAGTCAGTACCAGGGTATCTTTTTTGTTTGGTTAGGGAGTTGTATGTAAGGTTTAGTGAATTATTTAGTATTGCAAGGAAATGGGACCAAATAGAATGGAATGGATAATGATTATTCATATAGCCTATCCAACTATTTCGTGATTGAGGTTTAGTTGCTGATTGATTTCTACCTTAATATTTCTAGATTTTAGTTACTCGCTCTACTAGAATAATCTGCAGCTCGGACTTCATCATTTGTTGTTACTTACTGTAACAAGTTATTGGCAGATGCAAATAAGGAGTGGCAGGTATCACACACTGCTAATCAATGATTCAGCAGCATACTCTTGTGGTTCCAGTTTATGCGGCGTCCTTGGTCATGGGCCTGAAACAACTCAGTGTGTGGAATTTACTCGAATTAGCTTTCCTGTTCCCGTACAAGTTGCCCAAGTTTCAGCTTCGCATAATCATGCTGCTTTTGTCACAGGGTCTGGACAGGTTTGGCAATCCTCATATATTATCAACTACTCTTATTTTTATTACAGTAATTTACCTTTTACGTGCACTTCGTTTTTTGCATGCATGATGTGGAAATCCTCGTTCTGTTGAGGAGTCAAGTAAAGAAAGTGAAAGAAGATGAATGTAATTGGAAACAAGCAATCCAATATCATTTTCGTTTCTTTTGAGAATGTTTTTAGGAGAGGCTCCTTTGGAAGACTGATGCTAATATTGTTGAAATTTATATTGACTTTGAAAAATGCAAGAACTGCCACACCATTCCACTCTGCAAAAAATAATTCTTACTATTTTAGTATGAGTTGGACCTACAACTTACCGGCAAGGTGTGGTCAATGAAGTGGGTGCTAACCTTGGAGACTACTTCCTATTTGCCTAAGCTTTAGTGTACAATGTTAGTCGATACTTCTATGTTTCTCTCTAAGGGCTGGTCAAATACTTCTGCTCACTTTTTCCTTTCCCTATGGAGAAAATCAGTCATCATTCTGGCAATTTATAGTGGTTAGTGCTACTGCAATAAAATGAGATAGACATAAAAAAATTCTGTACGGAGTGGATTGGTGCACCTTACAATGAGAGAACCTTTCAACTGTCCTATCGCTTAGACATAGCCCTTTACCACAGTCCACAGTAGGTTGCAATATTCAAAGTGTGTTAGAGAATCTTTCTCTGTTGTAAATATGATAAAAACTGCCATATTTTGTCTTCTTCTACAATATAGGATGTATATACATACTATTGGAATGAGTTTTCTATCACTCATGAGGTTTACAATTCTTGGTATAGGTGTTCACATGTGGAGATAACTCATCATACTGTTGTGGGCATAGCGACACCGGGCGCCCAATCTTCACGCCAAGAATGGTTGAAGCATTGAAAAATATTCCTGTCAAGCAGGTAAATTTCTTTCTATCATGTCATGCCATCTAATTGATGGGATTACCTCAATACATGTATACAAATTGGGAACGGAAGGATAAACTCCGTTAAGTTTTAATAGCATAATTCAAGTTGTGAATGACATAAACACGTTCTTGTTCCTATGTTTAGTTGCAATAAGCTTTCTATCATTTCTTCAAATGCTTTTTGAAAAATGGATGGACAAGCCACTGTTGAATAAATGAAGGCTAAAAATGAAAACAAAGGCATTTTTAAGATCCAAAATGAGAAGACCCATGCATCACAAGGATAAATCTTCCATTTCCCATACAACTACTGAAGGTGAGAAACAGAGTTAGGCAACACCTATGAAATGTCCATTAGTTTTAGTAGCAAATTTGGAAATACCATTGTAGGTGCTACCGTGCTAATGCGGATCTAATTGGTTCCCAGCAATGTGTATATGATGCTCTTCTGCATTTTGTCATTGTCTGTAAATGTTTTGGGTTCGTTTATCTTTAAAGTTGGGCTTACTTTTGTAGTATCTTTGAAGAAGTACTCTCTCTGTTTCAATTTATTTGTCTGATTTTGATTTGACACGGAGTTTAAGAAAGTAAGGAAGATTTTTGAATAGGATATATGGAATGTATTAAAATGCCCTTTAATCTTGTGTCTTAAACATTCCATGTGGTAAGTTGGAATTAAAGAGTTGCCTAACAAGGAAAGAGACATTCTTTTTGAAACGTACTAAAAAGTGAAGTATGAGAAACAAATTGAATAGGAGGGACCGAGGGAGTAATAGATAAATTGCCGAATTGATGATACATGGGGTTCCAGTCATCATTTAATGAATTTAACCAATTGGAAATTTTTATGCTGTGTAAATTGCATGGTAGAGATAAAAAACACTTCATTGTCCTACATGAGGATGTTGCTGTTAAGTTTTGTCATGAACACACTGCTCACTACTGTTGGAACTGGTTCAGGTTGCTGCAGGTCTCAGTTTTACTATGTTTCTCACTAGGAAAGGTCATGTTTTCACATGCGGAACTAACGGACATGGTCAACTTGGTCATGGTGACACGTCAGATAGGCCAACACCGACATGCATAGAATTACTGGCATCTATTGGTTCTGTAGTTCAGATTGCTGCTGGTCCTAGTTATGCACTTGCGGTGTCTGATGATGGGACTCTGTACTCTTTTGGTTCGGGTACTAATTTCTGCCTTGGTCATGGAGAACAGCAGAATGAACTTCAGCCACGTGCAATCCAGTCGTTTAAGAGGAGGGACATTAATGTGGCTCGTGTTTCTGCTGGCGATGAGCATGTTGTGGCACTGGATTCCACTGGATATGTAAGTCATTGTACCTAAAATAATACGATATTATAATTTCATTTAAGATGTATGCTAAAAGTTGATTGACTCAAATAACTGCAGAAAAGAATAAAGTGCTAGTCACGACTGATGATTGATTTTCGTGATTTCAGGTATATACTTGGGGGAAAGGTTATTGTGGTGCATTGGGGCATGGTGATGAGATTGATAAGACTACTCCGTCACACTTGACCAGCCTTAAGAGCCATCTAGCAGTTCAGGTCTGGCATTCTTTTACATTTGCTAGTCGATATTACAAGACCAGTATTAACTAAGGCAACATTTGGAAACATGAAATAACTCAAACTAGTGTATAACGCAAGTAATATGATACAAAATAATTCAAGGGTTGTAAAATATGTAACAGTCTTCCTAGTCCTAGCTTTATTTTGCCTGCCCCGTCTTTTAACCATTTACTTCTATTTAATTTTATGATTTTGGTAGGTTTGTGCAAGCAAGAGGAAAACGTTTGTCCTGGTGGACGATGGTTCTGTTTATGGCTTTGGCTGGATGGGGTTTGGTAGCCTCGGATTCCTTGACAGAGGAGCATCAGATAAAGTTTTGAAGCCTCGGATTCTGGAGAGCTTGAGATCCCATCACATATCTCAAATTAGCACTGGCTTATACCACAGCGTAGTTGTCACAAATTGTGGACGAGTCTTTGGATTTGGAGACAACGAAAGAGCCCAACTTGGGCATGATGCAGTAAGGGGATGCCTTGAACCTACTGAAATGTTTATGGAGAAAGCTGCATGAATAATGCAAGCAATAGCACAAAACACACCTCCTACAAGAACTGGTATTGAGTAGCCAAAGTCGTCTAGTACATGTTACTAATCAAATAATGTATATTGACCAGACAAATATTGTTATAACATTTCAAAAATGATTTGTGAATTCAGTCATGGTTCACTTTCAGTCGCCTTGGCCCTAGCTCGAATTGCAGCTTTTGACATATCGTCTGCAACAATTATAAGATGCAACATATTAGAATAACAAGTTTTCGTTTTTCTCAACAATTAGTGCAACAAATACATTTGTTTTACCTTCTACTAGCTTTAACACCTTAAGCTTTCGCCTGAGTCGATTGATTTCTTGTTCTTTTTCTTCCCTAAATTGCTCGATTTCTTCGATGCATTCCTTTGAATATTGCTCATATTCCAAGAGAGTTTGGCGGTCCACATAAATAACTCTCGCTACAAAGACCAAATTGAAACAAACGACACCTCGCATCTACACCAAAAAAGGTACATTCTCACAATCAATACAGAAATTTAAACATCAATTCTGACAGAAAACAACAACAAATTAATTCAAAATACCGTATGAAGAATGAGTAAATTGGCAGCTGTTTGTATTGCTAGCTCCTCGCCAACAAGCTTGCCGTGGTATCTCTGAATTACACAAACGGATTGTTAATAGTTGGGTTGTCGCTTTACTAATTTGAAATTATTTCAAAACTTTCTACAGTTTTTTTCTTGAGTACTGTTTTTCAAATTCAAGCCTAAATACAGAATACTTCATTTACCTGACCATACTTGACGAAGGACTGCTTCAATTTGGGGTGCAAGGCATCACTTTTTCTAAGGCCACTAGCTAAAGACTCCGACATAATATGTACCATACCATCACAAAGCTTAGTGAATACTGCCATATGAGAGCAAGTAAAAATTGTTAAGAAACTGAATGTGCACCATCAAAATACAACTCCAAAACACTTACTTGGGCTTCTCATAATCAAGACACTTGTTCTAGAGATGGAATAACCTACAAAACATTTTTTTGTGAAATTGTTACAGCTTTCAATCTCAAAATCACAAACTTTTAGGGGTTTTAGGGCTCTATGTTCTCCTCATCCCTTCCCTTTTTCCTTTCCTTCTCGGTTTTAAAATTAAATAATAAAATAAAAAATAAATTACAGGGAAAATGCAAGTATTCCTGCCGGAATTCTTCATAATAAAGGGAAGAGCGGCGACGGCAAAGGACTTACCACCAGAAACGCCGGACTGGGCTGATGCAGACTTGATCGTGTATTTGGGAAACTAGGCTATTTTTAGATAATTAAATTTATATAAAATTGAATAAGTAAATATATATGTTACTTGATTAATACACTTACGAAATCATATAGAACATGAAAAATTACATGTAAGATGAATGTTTTATTAAAATTTAAGTATTTATTTATATATGCTCCAAATTAAAAAAAAAAAGAAAAAAGATATCAATTAAAATCATGTTAAGAAAATATATTTATATATTATATCTTTTAGTTGATATTAGAGGATCAGTATGAAATATGAAATAACTCAAACTAGTGTATAATACAAGTAATAATTGAATGACTGATATGAATTATGATACGAAGTCAAGACTTGTAAAATATAAAACAGTCTTCCTAGTCCTAACTTTATTTTGCCTGCTCCGTCTTTTAATCATTGACTTCCTTAAAATTTATGATTTCGGTAGGTTTGTGCAAGAAAGAAAAAAATGTTTGTCCCAGTGGACGATGGATTTGTTTATGACTTTGGCTGGATGTGGTTTGGTTGCCTCGGATTTCTTGACACTCTTCATATCCAGGGCTCGAACTTGAGACATCTGGTTAATGGGTGAAGCAGTCCAACCATTGCACCACAACCCATGTTGGTTGTTGTTGTCTAGTACATGTTGTTACTAATCAAACAATGTATATTGATCAGACAAATATTGTTTGTAGAGCGTTATATAACATTTCAAAAATGACTTAAATGTTTTGCTTTGTCTTTTTTATTTTGTTTATTGATTTAAATAAATCTTTTATGCCTTATAACATGTATGAAATCATATAAAACGTGAATTAGATGTAAGATGTATGTGTTTACTGAATTGTTTTTATTAAAATTTAAGTATTTATTTATATAATGATGAACTTTAACATTTGATACATTAATCAAAATATATATAAAAAAAATGGACCAAAATTATGGTTTTATGTGTAAAATCGAAAAATTTAACACAAGATACATAACAGTACTAATGTATCATATACACATTGAATAATACAAGGAGGGGTGTAACTTATCATTAATGTGTCATTTTTTAATTGACTAAAATAAATAAGTTTAAAAATCAATAAAAGAAGATCAAAAACTAACCTTAGGTAAAAAAAGGTTGAGAACCGTAGGAGCAAATTTTTGACCCCTCTTTTAAGGATTTTATCTACTTGCACTTTAGAAGATGAAGAACAACTTTGATTCGTCATTGCTAATGGATGATGAAAACGTTAGATCTGGTTTCAGCCCATTTAGAATGTACGTGATTAGATTATAGGAGTGAAATAAGGGAGAGATTGAAAGAGTGAAATTAGGAGTGGGGAAACGTGGGTTTGTAAAGTTGGAGTAATGTATCCGGACGAGTTGAGATTTTGGGAAAAAAAGAGATTTTTGTAATATTTTAAAATGGAAGGGAATAATAGAAAATATGGTAAATAAATATGTGTATATAGGTAATTTTTTCTAAGAAACAACTAATTTATGTATACAATTAACATGTGAGAGAAAAGACCAGTAACTATTTTGAGTTAAACAAGGAAAAATAATATTTTGTTTGATATGACTCTCCTGATTTTATGACTATTATTTATTATCATTACTATTATTAATTTATTTTTTAATTCATATTCCATTTTTTTTTAATTTAACAAATGTTATAGCCTGTAATTTTTTAAATGTTAAAACATGAAGCCTAAAGAATAATAACTAATAATAATTAGTCTTATATATGTCAATTATAAAATTTTCACTTGACCTACTCATAAACACAAACAACAGTTTCACATGAACTCATATTCAAAAGTAAAACTCAGCTAAATCAGAATCTCTTTTACTCTATACAAATCACTATGAGCATGCAATAAAAAGCATATCATCACTTACCCAGAGAAGATAACTCATACAAAAAAATGGAGGTGTGCCTTCGATGCTTGCGGTAACTTAACTCGATATCTATAGATTTTTGAAATGCAATTAAAAACAAATCATTCGCTTACCCATATTAAGAGATAACTTATACAAAAAAAATGAGATGTACCTTTAACTAGAAGCGACGATTAAACGATTGCACTCTATTACTTCATCCTTCAGCTTTAGGTAACTCAATTTCTATCGATTTTTGAAATGCAACTGAAATTTGAACAATATATGAAGTCATGATATTTAGTTAGGTTTTTTTCAATATTGCTCCCATTTTTCTAGTAAAAGGGGAGTGTTGAGGAGTGAAAGTTTTGGTACGAGTAGAGTATAGAGCAGTGAAAGTTTCAGGTGGAACAAATTTTTGGCTGCATTGTTGCATTTATTAATTCCCTTTTAAAGTCAATTTTTTACATGATGTTTGACTTAATAATTGCTAATACTATAGAAATTTTTGTCCGAATTGATATCTAAAATTTGGCTTACCAATCAAAAACTTGAGATAAGTATGCTTGAAATTTGGCTTACCAATAAAAAAACAATCAAATTGATGCGAGAAATGAATTACACTATTACAAACCAAGAAACAGTCAGAATGCCACAACACTACAAGGCACTAATGCCTATTGTGTGTTAGATGATTCAGGATCTAGTAATCTAATTCAGTATGTTGTTACACTAAATTCTAGCTGCAGATTATCTTAGTAGCTAAAATCTAAACACATTAAGGTCAGAAAGATATAAATGAATTGATAACTAAAGAGAGGTCGACTAGCAGTATGAATAATCGATATCGATTCCATTCTATCTTTACCCTCTTCCCTCAACACCTTATTCACGATACTCGGTACTTCATCGACGATAATTTCCTTCAAATATTCTTTTATTTTGGCTTGTATGTGTAGAAGCAAACTAACTTACGCATATTTCATCTCATATTGTTTTTTTATTGTCTTCTTTGAGTACGTTTATTTTTCTTTTAATCTTTTCTCTGACTTCTTTAATCTATTCTTTGACTTCTTCAATCTCTACTCTGAGTACGTTCATTACATTTGATATATCATCTTTTTTGTACAATTGCATAATATGTCATTCTATATACCCTCTTTACCTTCATTCATACCCTCTTCCCTTAACACCATGTTCACGATATCCGGTATTCTTTGATTTTCTTCAAGTCTTTACCCTCTTCCTCAACACTTTTCTCACAATGCCCGGTATTTCATTGACGATAATTTTCTTCAAATCTTCTTTTATTTTGGCTTGTATGTGTAGAAACAAACCAACTTGCGCCCATTGTTTTTCACGCTCCATCTCCCAATGTTTTTTATTCTTTTCTCTCACTTCTTCAATCTCCCCTCTGAATTCTTTTCTGAGTACATTCATTGCATTTGATATTTCATCCTTCTTGTATAAAAGCAGCGTAGCAACAAGAACCTAGCAACACCAACAACAACAACACTAAGTAATTTATAACCAAATGATTTTTAAAAAAAAAAAAATCATACTTTCGCTTGATGCTAAAATGAACGTTACCTAGTTAAAAACTTTTTCCTGTAGAACTTTTAACTGCTCAAAATCATTTTTAGCAAAAAATATGCTAATTCAGCCACTTTTCTACTACGCTTAATTTGATTTTTCTAGTAACTTTGATATTGGCTCCATAACAAATTTCATAAATAGAGTCGTATCAGGCATTATTAAAGTACTAAAGTCCAGACATACATATATATGTAGGTTTATCAGTAGATTGCAATGCTTAGTGACAAGACAATAAATATTTAATATTTAAATTTTTTCATATATTTTATTTTTATAAATTCTAAAAAGATATGGTTATTGGTTATAAATTTAATAATAAAAAATTCAAGTGGTAGTATAAGATTTCTTGTAGTATTTTGTAAGACAAGTAAAAATTATTATGCGTTATTTAACAACACAAATGTTTAAATCTATTTTATTGATTATAGTTTTAAAAACTTCTTAAATAGAGTCAATTGTTACACAAACTATCAAAATTATTCTAAAAAAGTATATTAAAATAAAAAAACACCATTGCTTGATTGAATATGTTGATTAGATTATCATTTTTTTTATTTGCATAATATAGTATTACTTTTAATTACAAAAATCAATATTAGAATAATTGTTTCTTTTAGGCGTATTCAAAGTTAAAACAATGTTTACTTAAAATTTAATTATTTTCATAATCTAATTAGTTTGAACTAAAAATGTCTAATAAAACATCTCTAAGAATTTAAAAACTCCTGATATTGAATTTGGCGTGAAGGGATCAATTTGACTACGACAAAATTTTGAAGTGCATTGCAAAATAGACTAAATTGAAAAGAATTTTCTTTTCCGTGCAAGCCTCTGTAGCAGGTGAAACACCATTTAACGAGATAAATAAATTGGAGAGGGCAATCCAGAATTGGGGGCCCGATTGGACCACAGTAAATAAATTAACATTGAAACTGTTGTTCTTCATTATTTTTCATTGTTGTTAGTTGAGTATTCTTTATTTGCAGTTTCTGAAGCATGACCTACTACAATCCTAAGATGTAAAAGATCAAATTAATTAATTTTCATTATTTTAAATGATGAATGCAAGATATGAATTAACATGATCTATACTAACAATTGATAATATAAGGTATCCAAAAGTTAATATTATTGTCTTTAGGTCAAATCAGATAAACAAAAAATATTATTTACCTCCAAAGATTAGCCTTTTTAATTATTTTTTTAACCTTCTCGAAGGAATTGCTCCATTGTTTGGTTTCTACTTCTACCTCCATTGATGCTTTGTAGTTAATCTTGAATACCAACAAGAAAATGCATGAACTATTTGTGGTTGAAGCTAAAGTTATATGCTGAATTACCATTCAGCTTTTCAGAATTTAGAAATTCATGGGTGTTTAACAAAATCTTAGTGGAGAAGACTCTAACGTTCTCCTGGTGCATTTTGAAAAAAGACTCGGTCAGCTAGAGGAGAGGGTCAAATTAGCTAGTATAAATGAAGCAAATTTGAGTTTTTTTCTAGTATCTGTTGAATGAAATGCAACAACTAGAAAAAAATTCAAATTTTTCCTTTCTT